TATATAAGAGTTAAATATGCAAAAAAATTTCTATAAATTTTTCAAAAACGTTACAATTTCATATATTAGTTTCTATATATTGTAACATTTATTAGTGTGTCATATTTTTATTATTATTTCATTTATCAACATTTATATATATATATATATATACATATAATGGATAAATTTAGTTTAAAAGTCTTGCATTAAAAAAAAAAAAAAAACATGAGATTGAACATTCATAAAATATCTAATTGATATTTTTAATACTTATTTACATATATATATATATTAAGTTAATGCATTTATTTTATTTCAATTATTCTTTGAAATAGCATTTAAAAAAAGAAAAGAAAAATAAAGATTATTTAAACAATAATTAAATATAACATTTATATATATATGTATAATAATAAGAAGAAGAAGAAGAAAAAGAAGACAATTTTAATTCTGAAAAATATTAGAAATAAAATTTGGTTTTGAAAAGTATTTGAAATAAAATCTTAACTTAATATATAATATATATATATATATATATGTATGTGTGTGTATCATACATATGATCACAGAAAAAACAATGTGCATGAATTATCATTATATATAATAATATTTTTAACAACAATAACACGCAAGATATACCAAATGATATTATCCAAAATTTAGTAGCTTCCTTTATAAACACATTAATTTACATAAAAAAAAAAACAAATTGCAAGTTAAATCTCATGAATTAAAAAAAAAAAAGCAGCTTCATTATGTATATTTACAATTATTTGTGTTCAAAGTATAGAATTTTTCTTGAAATTCTTATTTACAATTAGACTTATCTATCAGTATGTTAAATTTCAAAAATAAATTTAACAATTAATATGCGATATATATTTATTCATAATTAAATATATAAAAGAATATATACTTTACAGTAATATTAAAAAAAAAAAAAAGAAATGTTTAAATATATATCGTTATAAATAATATACATATATATATGTATAATATATATATATGTATGTATATGTATATTAACAACAAAATGTTAATAATACAAATTTGCAAAGCATTGTCCATGCTTTTTTTTTTTTTTTTTAGTTTAACAATATTATTGTATTTTATGCATGAAAATAAGAAAAATATGTTTATATAAAACATAAATCATTTAACTCTTTCATTCCAAAATGGTTGAGACAAAATATTATCGCTGAATATAAAGCGTTTTGTTTTTTAATTGTATATTTTTCAAGAACGTATAAATACGCTCTTCATACATTAATGATTATTCTTCAAAGACGTGTATATACGGCCATTGGAGTAAAAGGGTTAAAAGTATTATTCACAAATTTTGTATTTTAAATTGAAAATTGTCATATTAAACATTTATTATAAATTGTATTTAATATTTCGAGATGATGTGACTAACTCCAATTGATAATTGTTTCTTTGATGGAATTTTACTGATCGAAATATTAAAAAGAATATGGTGACATTCATAATTTACATGATTTGTGCTACAAAAATATTCTAATTACTGTAAAAAAATATCAATTAGATTTCTTAATAAGAATAATCAAACATTGTTCAATTTTTTTGAATTATATCAAACAATTTCATTCTGTTTTACAGTAATGTGTATCAAACTAGCATTTGCTGAAACAGTCGACACTAAAAACAAAATAAAATGATTAATAATTTGTTATAAAATAAAACTTTCAAAATAATATATATATATATATATATATATACAACATTATTATCTTATTTTCATGCATAGTATACATTAACAATGTTGAACTAAAAAAAAAAATCTCTGACATCTTGTAATATTCTCTTTTAAATATTAGTTAATAAAAATACAACTTGTGTCTGATTAGTTGTTGCACCAATGTAAAAAAAAAAAACGTATGTTTGAATTAAATAGTTTTTTGATGATTATAAATATGTTAGAAAGTAGTAACATACACATACACACATAAACACACACATATAATAAAGAAAGCATGAGAAGGAATGAATGTGTGAGTGAAAGAAAAAAATAAATGCTTCAAATCAATTCTCTCTCTTTCTATATATATATATATATATTATATAGTAAGTTTTTGAAAAAAAAAAAAAAAAGGTACAATATAATTCCGGTTAGGAAAATAAAACGTGATCTCTTTTTTGTTTAGGAATAAAGATTAAACCGCGTTTGCACCTGATTGCTTGCGTATTTATGTGAAGAAAATAAAAGAGAAAGAGACGATGTCCATCTTCCCTCATTTTTTGTCAACGTAGGAAGATGTAAGCATATTAGGCGTGTTAAATAAAAAAAAAAAAAAACTATATATATATAGCAAGTTGCAAATATACTTATATAAAAAAAAAACACACACACACACACACACTTACACACATATACGAATATACACAGTTGAAAGATAAATCCGCGTGTCCGTGTTAATTAATTTAACGAAAGACAATATATATATAAATATAATTTGCACATTAATAATATTTAAAAATTCTCTTATTTAGTTATTTATTGTTTAAGTCTTTGCTAATATTAGATTTCTGATTTAATAAGAAAATTAATGAATATTAAATCATGCCTGTTTTTTTTTTTGTTGTTGACAAGTTATATTACGTGTAAATAATTTCAATCGATCATTCATTTAATAAACAACGATCATTAATTTATCCCAAAGTCACTCTTTATACACCTAAAAAAAAAACATGTATTAAGATGTAGCTAAATATTGTATAAATAATATATCATCTTTGTGTGTGTATATATATATATATATATATATATATATATACATATTATAAAAATTAAACTGATTAATTATAAATTGGTTAATTATATAAGAACAACAACAAAAATAATATGAAAAGTATGTAGAATATTTTGTAAATTGTATATCCATCGAATATCCTTAAAGATATCGTATAAACTTATTATTTAGATAAAACCATAGTTTGGCTGATATTAAATTATTAATACTACTGTGTACGTCATTTTAAGTAATTAATACTGTGGATATATATTGAAATTCGACTGATGAATATTATGCTATATATATTTATCAAAATGGCTACCTGCAAAATATAATAATTATTATTATTAATTCATATTCATATATATATTTATATTTTAGCTATAGATATATATATATATGTTAGCGCGAAAGAAATAATCAGCAAACAAAAACTACTTTACGAGTCACAAATACATATTATTATTGATTTATAAATCTATATATATATATATATATAAAGTAGTACTATACTTTTTTACATATTTTTATGACACTCTTTAGGAATGTTAGTAATTTTTAAACAAAAGTATTTAACGTAGCAATATATTTGATTACTTATAATACATTACCACATGGGTAATTAATATTATTATATTTACTAGCATTTTCTTAGTTTAATAATTATTATTCAATAAATAATATTAATTAAATATTAAATATGAAATAAATTATAGCCACAGAAATAATGCGTACATGCTACCAATGCGTGAAGATTTACAAACCAATATATATATATATATATGTATATATATTAAAACGTGTATATAATAATATAATTTAATTGTAGTGAGAGATAATGAAGAAGAAAAAAAAGAAATAACAAAACTATGATTTAAATATGGAAGTTACGTACCTCATAGTATCTATGAAGGTGTAAGTGTTAATTTAATTCAATAAAAGAGAATTACATTTATTCAAAGGTTTCATTCGCAAAAACTTTAATATCAAAGTTTGTCATAGATAAGTTTAAAAGAAGAAAAAACTTTAGTATCAAAGTTTTTTAAATATCAGCGAAAATTTACATATTAGATGATAATGACTAATATTATTATTCATCGTTGCTACATACGTGCCTTGATTTGTAATTAATTTGTCGGAAAGGGGTAAAAAAAAAAAAACAAAAAAAAAACAAAAAAGAAACAAAGAAAAAAAGGGAAAAGAAAAAAATATTTTTTCACATATTTTCTACCAAAGTAATAAAAAATAATCAATCCCTGTTTGACATCACATTAAATAAACACGAAAAGTCGAGAAATTGATAAACGAATAATAAATTTGATTTATATATCTTAGCGCGTGTGTGTATATAAAATGAGATCAACTCTGGGAGTTGCAATAATATCTTGTAAAAAAAAAAAAAATATATATATATATAAATAAATATATACGTATGTATATATTTATAAATTGTCCTATAACAGATTTGTAAATTTCTGTTGAGAACAAATTTATCTAATAATGTGATAAAGCGACATTAATAATATTACCTTAAATAAAACAAATTTCATTATCGAATAACACAGTTATTATCATCATATTTTATATTTCATTTTGTTTTATATATATATATATATATATGTATATAGATGTATGATAAATATAACATTATTAATTGTTTTTTTTTAATCAATGGCCATAAGAAAAAAAAAAGTACATTTTATATTTTTAACTATGATTTTTAATTAATTTTAACAAGAAAGAGTTGTGTTCTTTTTTTTTTTTTTTTAGTTCATTTTTTAAATAACTTTTTTTGTAATCAATTGTACATAATGAAAAATAGTTTTTAAATGAAAATCTCCTCTGTGTTATTCCATAATAAATATTACAGCATTTTTGTATTCCGTATTTCTGAATGCTCTTCTATCGTTACATTATTTTATTTACACATCTAAATTTGTTTTCATTGTGGTAAAAACGAATGGACGATAATAGAAATTTCAAATTTCATGAAAAATAATCTTTAATTTTTTACAAATCACTCGATAAAAGAATAAAAAAAAAAAAAAGAAATTAAGATACACAATCGTACCATCCGTTATTTGCTATGTAATTTATTATTAGATTGTGTATACGTGTGATTGTACTATTTTAAATATTATACAAATAATATATATATATATATATATATACATATATATACATACATATATTTTTATATTTATATATGTAGAGTGATGCAACTAAAACTGCAATTTTAAATAATAAATTTAATAACAGGTGTTTTTTTTTTTTAACAATAATTAATATTATTTATATCAATGTAATTAATGTCCAGTTACAAATGACGATTCTACAAGCTAAATTTTAAATAATAATAGATAAAAATTGCAGAAATTCTTGTTATACCACCCTATAATATTTATAATATAAAAATATATATGTATATGTATACACATATATAATATATATAAAAATAAATATAAATATGTGTGAGTTTATAGATTTTCGATGGAAGGTAAAAGAAAAAGAAAAAAAAGATACACAGAACAGAAATTTTTGGTTTACAATTTAACAACACACATATGTATGTAATATACATATGTATATAAAAAATTAATTACTGAAAATGAATTCAGTAATTGCTTGTCTCGTGTCTTGCTTCGGATTAATATGGATCTCTTATTTCAGAAAAATACGGAATAAAATATTTTTGATCTATGAATCAAGTGTTTTCCTTATTTTTTTTTTTTAATGTGATATATAAAACCTGTATGTATATTATATATTGAATAAGTTATTGAAATATAATAATAAATTATATTTATATTTAACTCATTAATTATTATACTTAATATATTATAAATTATATATTCTTTTTTATTTTTCATAAATAAAATCTAATTTTTAATAAAATTAGTTGAAATATAACAATACATTAATATTAATTGCAATATATAATATTTGAATTAAACAAATTTGTTTATTGCATTGTTTATTAGTGTACGTAAAAATATAATGTTATAGTCAAACTTATTATCAAAAAAATACCATAATAAAAAAACACAAGATACACATTTTTTGTCAAGTTTTCTTGAAGAAGTATATTATGAAGGAAAACATAAACGCAGGCGCAGTAAAAGTATTGAAATAAGTTAACAGTGGTGATTATTGTAGTATGAATAAACACATACTATATATTATATTTATATTATATAATATAATATTAAAGATATATATATATATATAAAATCTAAACTCAAACATTTCCATAATTTAAAAATCAAACAAAACTAATCAACTTATACGATTACATTATTTAACTACAAATACAAGCAAAAAAAAAAAGAAATAATTAATCTAAACAAATTTCATTAAGATATAATAATTAATTATTAGTGTATGTGCATATACGAGCATAATTAAATATTAAGATTTATTATACTTAAATAAGAAAGAAAAATAATATAATAAGTACACGAAGCCTGTTTTTTCTTCTAAAGCTTACTGTAAGAGATTTGTGCAATGACGGGAAACATAAACGCAGGCGCAGTTAAAGTATTGGGGGTTTGTGGTGGTGAACGAACGGCGAACGATAGCAAGCAAGCAAGTCCCGGTAATCAATGACACACCAGGGTGCTTAGAAGCATTTCTATACAATTGAGATAGTACGCGTTCCTCGCACGCGTAGAACGGAACACTTCGTCCCCGTTCGGTCATTTAACGAGCTTCTTCTAAAGCTTCTTAAAAGGAAGAGGAGGAAAACTCACAGTAGTGAAAAACGATTAACACACTTTCCAACAAAACCAACTTTCTAATCCATCCGAATATATTTTTACCCAATTTAGTTTTTTTTTTTTATTCCATTTTTTTTTCACCTTCTATTAACATTCGTCGACACAACACATTTCTATTTTTGTTCTTTAAATTATATTTTCAAAAGGTGTTAGATAAACAATATATTGTTATTAGATTTTCGTTAATTGGGCAGCCATAAAAACGGACAATTCAAGAATAGAAGTTAAGAAAAAGGCGCGTTAATTTGTCATCAATCATTTTTGATAGATTTTGTTCTCAATTTTTCTTCCTTCCCTTCCTTTCTACCTGTTCTTATTATTTCTTTTCTCTTTATGTGTATATATATATATATATATATATATATATATATATATATATATGTATGTATATTGTAAGTAGTATTGTATAGTTGTCCCTCGACGTTATTGTTTCATCTCATTCTGGATGGTTGACAATAAAATAAAACGTTGAAGAAAAAGACCATGTACAATGGAAGGTTCAAATTTCGAACGCAGCGTAAACTTCGAGGAGAACCGTAAAGAAGGTACGTCAAATTTTCTTTATTTTCTACATTTCAATCCTTCGTTCGTATTAAATTATTAATAAATTTAAGAAGCCATTGCTTGAAATAACGCTGTTCGATGTAAAAAGGGGTAACTTTGTTAAATGTCTACGATTGGATAAACGTGTTCCTTTTATTTTCAATTGTATACACGTTTTTATTGTCACCTGTAAAATATAAAAATTCGAATATTAATCTTTAAATATTTTTCTACATATATATACATATATGCTTCATGATTTATCTTTTAAAAAAATGAATAGAATTTAGATTGAATTATACAAATTATGAAACACATTTGCAGGAAAAATAACAACGTGTAAAATGATTGCATGATTCTAGTTGCTTTTATATTTATTTAACTTGTTTGTGTGTTAAATATTAGAAGATAAAAAAAAATTATGAAGAAAGGGAGACTTAATCGTGCCCTAATTAAAAAAGAAAGAAAAAGAGAATAATGTGACAAGAAATATTATTTTAATCATCACTCTTCTCAAGTCACGCGATTTCATAATGAACATAAATTATTGTGAACTAGTCTAATGTATGCGAGATTTCATTTTTCACAATTAATATTTCCTTATATTTTTATGTTTCTATTAAATATTTTATTCGAAATCTTGCCAATTAAAATGAAATGTTATCGTAAAAGAAAAAGAAATGAAATGAAAAGAAAAAAAAAACAATGTCATTGTTTAAATTCAAAGCACAAACGATTCATTATGTTACGCGAAATTGTTTCGTGCACGCTCATGCTTATTAGCTTTTGCGGTCACATTTAAAAAGAAATAATAAATGATAAAATAATAATACCTTAAAGAAAAAGAAAAAAAAATAAATGAAAAAAATTAGTTGAGTACTTTGCTTTAAGCTTAACTTTGCACGCAAATTATTCTTATATTCGGTTTCTTTTATTATTGTTGTTGTGTTGTTGTTGTTTTGGAAGATGGTAAGTGTCGAATAAAATTGTACATCAACAATAATTATCTTGACTTATTGAAAATCTTCAATTAATATTTCATAATAATTAAAAATTATTAACAAGATCATCAAAACGTTCCAACTAAAAAAAAAAAAAAAAATGAAGGAATGCAGTTATAAATACTCAACCATGAAAATAAACTCATTTGAGCGACACGTGTGATCATATACTTTGGTAAGAGGATCCTTTTACAAGGATGACTGATTTTTTTAGAATCCAGAGTGAAATCATGGAGCGATTTAATCGCTACAACTACCACAACAACTACTACTACTACTACTAAGACAGATCTTCTTTTACGTGCCTTCATCCTCCTGATAATCTTCTTCGGCGAATCATCTTCCATTGCCTGTTCCGTGCAACGTTTTCTGCACGATTTCATTTAGAATTAAATCAATCGTTTCCCGATAATGTGTTGGATATGTTGAACGATACCATTGAAAAATGTTTCAAAGAGCAAACTTAAACATGGGTAGCGGAAATGTTGGGGAAGTAGCAACGATATTTCATCCCCGACGATCTCGTGCACCAAGTATAGTCCTTAGCGAGGATCAACAAAACCATGGTCCAATTGCCAGTCCTATTCAAGTTGTGCTGGATTCGACAGGTAAGATGCATTTATAGGAGCTTAAAGTTACTACTACGAATATACGAATGAATGAACGATATTTTAAATATAAATGGGATGTCTCCTTTAAGTTCAATATCATTTAAATCAATGTTCTCAACCCAGACTGAACAATATAATACTCCAAATACTTTAATTATAAAATTTGAAACTGTTAGGTCCAGTACTGGATTGTATTTTAATGTTTTTACTGTATATATAATGAAACATTAAATGAGACATCCTGTAATACGTATAGAATAAAACCAAAGAGAGAACACATAGAAAAACTTTGTTTCATCAAAAATGACTTTCTCTACATCATACCAGTGTTACGTTAAGAGCATAAGAAGCCAAGAGGAATAAACTCCTTTACAACCGGGGTGATGTCTTATCTTCACGGTACGCGTTTTGTGGTAGTTATGGTTTAGAGAGTTCTAGAATAGAATAAAAAGTGTATACCGTATATATATATCTGACGTTCATAAATCATCGGGCACTTTAAATCATAAATATTGAATTTATTCTACATACTATTTAATAAATCAAATGAAATATATAGTTAGCTGTCCGATATGACTCATGAACGATAGTACAAATATACGAAGAGTTCATGTTCGCTTTGATTTAATTCACTTATAGCAATATCAAAGAAAGAGCTTCGTTCTTTGCATTGAAAGCAATTAAATGGCTGGGTAATAACTTTTGCCGGGTACACACTTTTTCTTAATGGAACAATCGCTCAACTAAAAACAAGAAATATATTTGTTAATTCTTTGTACAATAGCACCGCTTATTGCTATTTATTGATACTATACATTAAAACATATACACATCATTCATTTATTATTTATTCACATTGTTGCTTTGCTCATACTCACCATTGTTTCTTTTTGTGTCATGTCATTATATATAAAATATACTAATTCAAATGTTTTATTGTTTCAGAGTGCGAGCAACAACAAGGTTGCAGCGTTGCTGGTGGATGCGGTGATTCAGCATCAAGTTGTAGATCTTTAGAAACAAGTGGTAGTGGTGTAGGTTCCGGAACTGGTACTGGTATTGCTACCGGAAGTACAGGAGGACCTGGTGGTGGTGGTGGTGGTGGTGGAGGAGGTCAGGGACATAGTACCTCTTTAAGTCAAACTCAATCTACGTGTAATGTGACTACACCTTCTGTAGCTTATCAACAATCCAGACCGAACAAACTCTCCGCTTGTTATGCATCCTGTTGTGCAGAGTCTGCAAGAAAAGTATATAATTTATTTAACTAATTTTTGATTAATTAATTAACCCTAATTATTTATTGTCCATATGTTATATTGTACACTAGAAACAAATACATTTGTGTAATATTTATTTTGTTCGATTATTTCAGATATATTTTGGCGTGTGTGTTACAATATGTGTGACGGCTAGTTGGGTTGGAGCAACCCACTGCATAAAATATTTATACTTTCATAAGCAAACGAGCCCTAGTTATACATCCGCATCAAATGTCTCCGTTACCGAGCCCCGTCATCAGCATGTAATTAGACACGGTGCTTCAATTCTTTAAGACACTCTTTTGTCACTGCCAAGAGACCTTTACCCACTTTTCACTTTCATATCTTATATTTGTCTTATTTAATTGGGTGCACATAATTACGTTCTTTCATTTATAAAATTCAAAAACAAAATATTCTCTTAATTTAAATGTTTATAACTTTATTATTATAATTAACATTAATATTTCATTGTAGACTGTGCTTCCATACAATGCACCCTTCTTCACAACATGGTTCTGCACAAACTGGGAAGTATTATACTTTCCAGTTTATTTCATTTGCCGAGCAGTTAGAACGAAATGCACGACACCATCAGAAATATTAGCTGAAAGTCTTCGTGGATTTCGAGACAAAGGTTTCACTGGTGGACGTTTCCTCGTTAAATGTAGTCTCTTCTGTGGACTTTGGGTTGTTACTAATTACATGTACATCTACTCGTTGAGGATACTTTTGGCTACTGACGTGATGGCATTGTTTGCTACCAATGTTTCCTGCGTTTATCTTCTATCTTGGGTGATCCTTCACGAGCAATTTGTTGGAGTTAGGGTAAGACTAAAGATAATGGAGATATTTAAATATTCCTAGTTGAATTTTATTCTGAATATTTATCAAATTTATTACAGATAGTAGCAGTGATCCTATGCAATACTGGCATAGCTCTTCTAGCTTACATGGATGGTATTACAGGAAGTCCAACATTGGGTGGTGTAGTTCTAGCAACAACTGCAGCAGCTGGATCTGCTGTTTACAAAGTAACGACTCTGTAAAAAACGTTCGAACATTTAATTGAAAAGATAGAAGAAAATCATTTCAAGAATAAATACTTTTCTTTTTATTTCCAGGTGGTATTTAAAAAAGTTATAGGAGAAACGACATTTGGTCAAATGTCATTATTCTTTTCTTTGATTGGTCTTTGCAACGCTGCTCTTTTATGGCCAATTTGTTTGGCCCTTTATTTTTCGGGTGCTGAGAGCGTAAATTGGACTCGATTACCATGGGCAGCTCTTTTGTCAGCCAGCATACTTCATCTAGGTCTGATCATGCATTGAATTCTTTCAATTAATATTCCATAGTTTATTCCTCTCACTCTATCCTAATGTGATGCTGGTGAACAATAACACAATTTAACGGAATTAGTAATCCTATTAGAATTGTTATTTAAGTGAGCACTCATTATGTTACAGTTGCAAATATGTTAGGAAACTTCAGCATCGCACTTACTTATGATCTATTCATTACACTTGGTCTGATAACTGCTGTTCCTGTTTCTGCAGGTATGTACATTAGTAACAACACACAAGGTCTTTGCATCGCATTTACGTTTTTTTTCTTTTTTGGTCATAGCGCACATTATTTTAGTAAGTTCATTCTATAGAGAAAGTATATATACATATATCATTTATAATTTACAGAAATAAAATGAATTCATGAGAATGCGTATCATTTAATACCTATACATGTATTTATACAATATATATATGCATGTCCTCACTTATCACATAAAGGATCTTTCGAAGGAAGATACTGTTCCTCAGAAACTTCATTGAGATAATTTCTAATCATTCAAATATGATCAGTGAAGTTCCAGAGGAACAGTCATACAAATTCGAAAGTTTTATTAAAAAAGGAAGACACGACAACTACAATGTTAGTAATCGCCCCGTTGAAATGATTGCATAGCTCTGGATGTCGTTCTATATGGAGCGCACTTCATGGGCATGAAGCTGGCCGGAATGATCTTCATTGCAGTCGGCTTCTTTCTCGTGATGTTCCCAGACAACTGGCCCGATTACATAACAAGACTCCTTCGGTATGCACACTATGATCTTTTTTATTATAATGCAATTATGTGGTATGCACTTTACAATCCAAACTATTACAAATTTTGATTTTAAGTTCATTATTATTATTAGCATTTAGTTTGATCTTTTAGTGATATTCTTCTCTATCTATCTATCTATTTATCTGTCTATCTATTTATCTGTCTATCTATCTATATCTTATTTTTTTTATATATTTTTATATGTATATACAAAATATGAGTATTTTATATCAAATGATAGATATATAGATAAGACGCATAAAAAGTGTGCACGTATGGGCACAATATACACACACTAATATTCTTGCAAGAATATGAAAATGATTATTTTTGTTTACATCTTATTTCGCACCTAGATAGAGGGCAAGAATGTAGTCTCACTTAAGTAGGATATGCTTTTGTATTTTTATAATGATTGCCTTATAGGAATATTCTCCATCTTTTTCTTCTTCTTCTTCTTCTTCTTCTTTTTTCTTCCTTTATCGCGCGTCCTTCCTTAATTAGAAATAATTAATGTGAAAATGTTTAGTAAAAGCTTCATATCTCCTTCTTATGTTTAAAATTGATCTAATCCATCAGTGAAATATTTCAAAACGTTTCTTATTGGTAATCAGAAGAAATTTTTCAATGAACAATCATTGAGGTCACAATCAGCTGCAATCCCACAAGAAGAATAAGAAAGAAAATAAGAACTTTATACAAACCATGATTTATTTCTTTCTAAAATAGATAGGGAAAAAAAAAACAAGTTCTTTCCAAATTCTTTCTGAAAGTCAGTCAGCATTAATCGTAGAGATTTTCTTTCGCATGTAGAGAGCCAATTTGTGCATCCGTGCGATATTTTTAGGATGTTTTTAAAAAACCAAGCATTGGTATTGTTTTACAGGATGCCTGGAATATGCAACAAATTTAAAGTGTAGTTTATAAAAGATAGAACAAAATTAAAACAGAATAGAATGGAATAATAATATATATATATATATATATTTTAAGTATTATGAAACAATAATAGCAATATATATTTTTTATAAATTACCTTAGATGACATCGATGATATCTCGTTAATTAAAATATTAAACTTCTTCCCCTATTAATATATAATTATACATATATATATTTTTTTTCATTAATATTTTTATTTTTTATTGGGGTATACCAGTTGTCGCGTTATAGCAATAATAAAATCTTATATATATCATGTTATACATATATACATATATAAAATCACGTTATATACTCGTTATATTATATTCAAATAAATCCTACGAATATTTCAAGAGTTAACATTAATAATAGACATATATATATATATTGTGGAATTATTATCAATTAAGGAAAACAAAAAATAGAAAAAAAACAGTTGCAAGAATTTAGAATATTATAAAGAGATATTAAAAAGAAAAACAAACCCCAAAACAGTATACGATTGTCAAGTAATTCTCACTATCCTAGTTAGCTAGTTAACCTCTCTTTTTTAATCATGCATAAAAATTAACAAAAAGTTATTTATCTTTATTCTTTTTTAAAAATCTAATTCTATTCTTATTAAAAAAAATATTTTTGAATTATAATTATCGAATAATAATTCAAAATCGATACGTATCTAACGATTATCGCTACGTACATCGATAAGTTAGATTTATCGATAGATGTCATTAAACGCGGGAATATTTAATTAGATATTTTACAGAGAAGAGATATCATTTGTTTTACTTACATTTATCATTTGAATTAATTATTAATTGGAAATCTCTAACACAAGCCGAATTGCTTGTACCGCTTAAATGTGTTATGTGTGAATCGACATCAACACTTCATCGCTCGCTTCCCAACTATCAGGATCCATTATATGCTGTTACAGAAACATTGTTATCCTCATGAGTTACAATACAAGGTAAGAAAATACATATCGCCTAATAACGTCCAACTAAACTGACAATACTGAAAATTCATTTGAATTTTAATAAAGAAACAAAATATTGCATTTATCTATAAACCTTTATCAAAATTAGTTTCTAACTTGACACACCTTTACAAGTAATCAAAACAATTACTTTTATTTTTTACAATATGTACAAAAATTTGTATCAATCATAAACATTGATTTATTCTTTTTATATTTTGTATTTAAATCATTTTTTATAAAGAGTAATGAATTTTCTGTATAGTACATGAGTGTAAGGACAATATAAATGGCGGCATGATTTTATTCCTTTGAATATAAAATTCAATTGAATTTTTGTATACGTGAAACATGTTGCTTGAGCGTGGTGTGTGAATGCATGAGCTTTATCTTCCAAAATATAAAATTGATTAGTGTAATTTCTTCTCTTTTTTCTTTCTTTCTTTCTCTTTCATTCACTCTTTGCTACTCACCGTACTTTTAAACACAAATTTGAATTTTAAAGCAACCGAGCAATCACTAAAAAGCTTTAACTTATAACTCACATGCTTATGATTAATCAATGTAATATATACACTATTTTAATACTAAATTATATATTATAATAACAACAATAATGTTTATCCATTTTAAAATATGTTGAGAGAAAAAAAAAGAAAAGAAATTTAATAAGAAATTAGAGTATTTATATCTTTTTCGCGTTCTGATTTCTCCATTCTCATATTTTCATATTTTCTATTGAAATTGCAATCTTTCATAATATTTTGTATATTTTTCTTTTATTTTTCTTAGTTATGGGATACGTTAAACTTCCTTGCGTTATTATCTAAACAATTTCAGTTAAAACCCAATGAGATTTCTGTTAGGACATTGAGAATGTTTGCGAATTATCTGTCGTTTTTTTCTATATATTTTTCTTTGTAATCCCATATTACATAAAACGGAGGAACGAACGAACGAATGAAAGAAAGAAAGAACAATTACATCACGGAAATGAAGTTCAGAGTTGAAGGAAAAAAGTTCCGAGTATCCTCCCCTTCGTAAAGGAGATCCAAACTTGAGAGAAATGAGATATCGTTGATCACTGATGTATGGTGGCCCTTGATACGCAGTACGACGCAGTGCCAGCCAAGAAGAACAACAGTTAGGAGCAGAACGAGTCAACAATGGCAGTACAGGTTGAGGAGTTATGGGGTTACGAGCTTGCATGGGGATGGACAAACCCTTCTCCCAATGACTGCTAATAACAACAACAACAATAACAACAACAACAGCAATAACAACAACACTGCCACCAGCTCAAACTTTAACAATCGACATGTTAACACATCGTCTCAACAGAACAGCTCGACCCCATCTTCCGAATCCCAATCGCACCGGTGTTTTCCTATCCCAACCACGATCTCAACCTCGACCTCGACCTCAACCGTCATCGTCACCAACAACCATCGTTGATTGCTCATCGGCGTCTGCTAGGACGCAGAAAGGTATGAGAGAACAAGCACAGTTACACTCGGATCAAGCTCACGTTCATGGTCCAAAGTTTTATACTATAAAATACTTCTGATCTGAAAAAAGGACATGTTATATATTTATTTAAAAATGTATCTAATTATTTACTTACTTTATTTGTTTTTTTTTTCTTCCAAATTGATCAATGTTCTCGTACATGACACACGTTGACAATTCTTTATCCGAGACTGGCTGTATTTGTAATTTAACAATCTCCAGTTCCCTCTACGAGAAGATTTGATTATATAATAATATAGGATGTAATCTGATATTGAGAGATTTACAGACCCAGTGTAATGCTTTAAATCTTCCTGTACTGTACAAGGACTACATATATGGTATCACTCTTTCACGTGTAAATTTAATACTATACAATATATGTAATTCTTGTATAGTGGACTATTTAAAGTGTTATCTAATTTCATATATTTTTTTGTTTACAAACTATGAAAGAAAATTTTTCAATTATTTTGTTGTATGTACCTTCACATTTTTTTGAATAATAATTCAAATATGCAATAGATCAAAATTAAGATACTTTCAACATTAGTAAGTATTTTTTCGGATTTTAAATACTAAGCAGAGCTAGAAAATGCTTGAATTCCTTTTAATTCCAATAATGCTAATCGAGAGTTGTTTAGTATGAAAATGTTGTATAATTACCCTATCAAAAATTAATTATAATAAGATTGATTTTATTAACAAAAGTAAAAAAAAAAAAAATTTTGGTGTGTTACTACACAGAGAACGTGTACAACACATAAATGTATTTTTGATTGAATTAGTTTTTTTCCTCATATTCGGCATCTTACCTGTAGTGTGATTAGAGTGTGGTATGTTTAATATATTACCCCAGTTTTTGTTTGTAACCTTTTTTTGAATGTTATATGCATACTTTACTTACACATTTATAGATATGGAATGAAGCATCGTGGGGTGTGATGATATTCAATTTATTCTGGATGTATATCGATGAACGATGATATATCTACGTAGGATTCTAATAAGACTTCTTTTTTTATATACTTTCATTAATTATAAAGTTGTAGATAAATTATATTCATGGAATAGTATCATCATTCTTCGTTATTGTAAAACCTACAAAAATAGAAACATTCTGTATTCATATTATCAACTTTAAATAATCTTTTTAAATCTTGATAACACACATTATCATTGTGGAATGTTTCTTCATTGTGGTTCTACCATGTTGTGTGAAAATAGTAAAAAATAAAAAAAAATAAAATGATTGCAGTGTGATATTTGCATGTTGAATTAGTTGGCTGTAAATATAAATACATAAATAACAGCTAATCAAAGTTGACGCTGTTCGCAGATGGAGTAGAAGACATAGACATGGTGTGCCAGGTGGTGCATCTCGTGAGGTGATAGATTATCGAACAGGATATATAAAATCTCATCTACGTTCGCCTTCAGGAAGGGTTCGGTGACTAATTGTAAACGCATCATTTGTAAAAGCATTAATCAAGTTTCAAGTTCCAATCATCAAAGTCCTGTTTAAGGTATTGTGAACATAAATAATGTTATGATTAGGTAAAAAAATGGGGAAAAGAAAAAAAATAAAAAAGAAAAGGAAGAAAGAATAATTTGATTTAGCGATAAGATTGATAATACACAAATATATATATATATATGAATATATATAAATATATATTGTCAGATATAAGTTTCAAATAATTTAAAAATTAACTTATCCTTTTCTAAGTTCTTATTTTTATCGGAGGAAAAAAAGCACAAGGCTTTTATTAGACGCACTATCCTTTCTTATACACAAATGTTTAATTAATCGAGCAATAAATTCGCTCTTCTTTCCTCTCTTTCTTGTGTGTGATCCTATTATTTCATTAATAATTATTCTATTTAATCTTCTTAACGTTTAAAATGAAACTGCATAATATTTGTTATATATATTTTTGCAAAAATTATATTTTCAATTTGTTTCTACTTGCACTTCTTCATACCACTTTCTTGATCGTGTAATATACTTAATATTGAAATGTGTGTAAAATCTTATGATCTCCTAAAATGCCTTCTTTCTGAAAAAAAAAAAAAAAAAAAAAACAAGAAAAATAGAAACTGTACAATACAAATAATAGTATATAACATTAATATTTTTTTCAGAGAATAATATAAAAAAGTTGTTTTTCATTGATTATGACATAAAATAACATTGAAGATAGTTTGATTTAATGAAAGAAAAATAATAAAAGCATTCTTATACTAAATTCGATATCCAATTAATTGGATGTCGAATGTAAAACATATCTTTTATTTTCAGAAAATATATCCTGTATAGATACTTCAATGATATTTACACCTATATTATTAGTTCCTTTGTAATTATGATTTTTGAATATCTAATATAAGATGATCATTTGGAAAATATAATGAAATAATTTGATAATAGTTACATTTATTATTCAAATAATTTGGATTAGCATCGTTGTGTCAATATAGATTCAATGATGGCCAAACTGTATCATATACAAGATGTCTTGTAACTGTATACGTGAGCAGGGAATGATTTTACGTAGAATACAATTTGTTCATATAAAGCTTTGTTTTTGAAAGAAATACTCCTGTTTGCTTATTACTATTAATTACAAGACACCCTGTATACTCTTAACGTCAAAACTTCATCCTTTTAAAACAAAACATTGATATAATTAAAAAGTTTGGTCACTGTTATCTAATATTGACAAATCGTGGATTCTATACACCTGCAGTAAAAAAATAAAAAATAATAAAAGAGGACAATCAATTACGAGTGAACTATCTTTTTTAAATATTATACTATTTATATTTAATGTCACGTTTATAAATTATTAGAAGAAGTGCCATTCTTTACTATAAAACGATCACTAAACACCTTATTCATTATCAAATCGTAATAATTAAAATTAGGGGGAAAATATTGAACAGGAGTTTCTTAAAATTTATTGCTAAAACTATTAATCATATTTTATAGATAACTCGAATTTAGTCCATTATAATAAATTTTAATTATTATGAGAAGATAATATTTAGCAATTACAGGGTCGACTATCCTATATTATTAAAATATAGATCTCAATCCCAGTGTTCTATTTAAATAATATCTTGTGATGGATTGAATATTAAATAATTGACTGAATAATGAATGATTAGTCAATAGATACAACATTTCTATGTAGTATTTAATATATTGGATTTGAAATTTGAAGAAAATAAACATAATAATAATAATAACAATAATAATAATAATAATGATAATAATAATAAAAAGAAAAACGACGTTTCTTAAATTATCAATTTTATTCTTAAATTTGTACCATCTTTCAAAACTAAAATCAAAGAGTTGATTGTTTAAAGTTTTTATGAAAGGTATATACAATATATATATATATACATATATATGTAAAAATATATAATATTTAGATTATTATAAAATTCTTTCTAATATCTGTTAGTATCGTTATTCAAGTTTAATGAAATATTGAAATACCAGGAAAAGCAATAGCTGTTCTCTTAAAAAAAAAAAAACTAGTATATGCATAAGCAATGAAGTTTATGCATATGCAACATTGAATGCATATTCTCAATAACATGTATATCATTCAATCGATAAGGTCATCATTTCACATAAGCATAGAAATTTATAAAATACGCAGTGGCACTTCATTAAAGAAAATATAATTTATTTTTTTTTTTGTTCAAATACTATTATTATAAATTATATAAGAAAAAATGCTTTTATTCTGAGCACTCATTAGTATCTTTGCAATAATTGAAAAATTATTCATTCGTATCGAATACACAGTTACCTGATTAAACATACATATATCTTATTCTCACGCAATTATTTTCACACACGTTATCGTATTACAGGTATATAGATATCCAATACTACTCTCTGGAGAGTATGTTTTTCGACTGATTAAGTTATCTCACTTTAGATGTCAATTAATGAAAATAATTAGAAATAAGTAATTGCATATTTAAGAAACTGTGTAATTAATGATGATGTTTATAATAGTTTAATATTATATTATAAATTTAGTTTTCAAACAGATAATAATAATAATAATAATAATAATAATAATAATAATATATATAATATTAAATTATATAATTCAATAATAAATATAATTTATTAATAAGAAATGAAAATAATTGATTCATTTGTGCAAAAGAGAGATTTTAGTAACATTTACTTGATGTTCTTTCGAATTGGATGAATAGGATGAACCATGTTGGATAAATCAGGTGGATTTTTTTCAAAATAACTTATCTCCTTCATACCACCTTCTGCGATTGACCATAAATCTGGATAAGATTGTTTAAAATTGTTGTACCATTTCTCGACGTAAGGCCATTGATCCAATTTAAAAGAAATTGCTTCTAAACACATGGTACTAGTGATTAATGGAAAATCTGCTATAGTCAAGCAATCTGTTAACAAAATAATTTGGAATATTATTTAAATCATTATTTTTATGATATGCACATATGTAGTAAAAATAATATTACTTACTAGCAGCAGCATAAATTGTATTTTCATTTTGTAAATATTTATTGAAAATATCTAAAGCCATTTTTACTTTCTTCAAACCCAACGGAGTTCTTTCATAGTCGAAAAATATTGGTGCCATCTTATGTAACATAAAAAAAAGAAAAAAAGATAATAAAATAAAATCGAAGTAACAATAAGTGTTCTTAAATATATAATATGTAATATTATCTTACCACATATTCAGAGATATTACGATAATAATAAGCTAGATTGAAACAAAGACGATGATTTACAATGGCACGTTCTCGTGGATCCTTTGGATATAATTTACCAAAAGTGTCGTATTTATCACCGAGATATTGTAAAATGGCATTACTATGAAAAAAAAGAAAAATAATCATTTAATTTAAATGAATTTTGTCAAGCTTAAATAAATTTATATTGTTTAGATAAAACATACCTTTCTCCCATTACAAGATCATCGTCAACTAAAACAGGTATTTCTTTTTGAGGATTAAGCTGAAACAACGATGAATTATTGAATTTATTTATTATTATTAAAATATATATTATTTAACATTTAAAATTACCTTTTCATATTCTTCAGTCATATGTTCACCTTTCCCAAAATCTACGTCAACCAATTCATATTTAATGTTTAAAGCTTTTAGCGCTTGACGACATGCAAGAGATGGTGGACCATCGGATACAGAGTACAATTTCATTGCTAAAATAAAATACAAATAAATAAATGTTTATTAAAATGTACAAATATTATAAATTGAAAGAATGTGATATACATTACCGATTAATTATTTTATTCTTTAAACAGAATGGAAAGTTTTTAAGAGTATAATGAATACCTGTACTTAATGCAGATCAAGTTATATTGAAACACCTTTCACTTGTGCATTGCATTCAAGGACTTCAAAGAATATGTGGTTTGATAACTTTCGCTTGGTTTTATTCATTGAGAGCAAACCTTGTAATCCTTCTAAATACCTGTTATATATATATAACATGTAAATAAGCATCGTTATCTCTCTAATTACCATATTAAATCAAGTGGTGACCGAGAGTAACCACTCGAGTGTAAAGGCTTAAATTATTTTTAAATTTGGCGCCATAAATTAAATGACATTTTATGCACCGTCGATAATTTTGCTTGTCGATAAAATAGTTTTTGATTTTCTATTTTCTTTATTTAATGATAATAGATAGAATTATATTTATTCACAATTTATTATTTAAATAATTATGTAATTTATTAAGATTATAATTCTTAGTCATTATTTAAGAACAAAGTGCATACATGACCAATAAAAAACACGCAAAATAAATACGATAACAAATCTCGAACGTGATTAGTTTAGAGGAATGAACTTTGACATCTATTGATGCTTGTCTTGTATTTTGATTGGTTGATCATTTAAATCTCGACCAATGATAGCGTAGCAAACAAATGACGTACTAACCTGAAGGAAATATTTTTCTAGTAGTTTTCCTATCTACATAAGTTGATTATTTCTAGTCCTCTTACACCAAGGAGTTGATCTCCTCTCGGTGCGAAAGATTTCTTCGTTTGTTCCACAAATAAAACAATAGTTAACTACATATTTAACGCTTTAAATAATTAAGTAATAGAAGAAAATTAAATTATTAATCTCGTGGATAAATTTAAGGAAAGTGTCGAAAAAAACGTTACGTTCAATAATAATGTTTATACATGTATTCTTGATACCTTTTAACACTTCCCTATAAAAGTTCAGAATATATCTATCTATTCTAACAATTTAACACGAGATAATATGACGTACGCTGTGAATATTTATTGGAAAAAGTAAAAGAGTGATAATTCAAACAAATAACAACCAAAACAAGAAATAGTAAAGAAGGTTTAAGAAAATATTCGAGAAATTTGACGCATCGAGAGTGAGAGAAAAAGATAGAACTAGAAAGAAAGAAAGAGAGAGAGATAGAGTGGGGGGGTAGGGTTGGTGTACGTCTCTCTCTCTCTTTTACAAGAAGACCATCGAAATATATTTCATATTTAACAACAAAAAGAAAGATTTATATAAAAAAAGAAACGTAACATCGAGGACTGAACATATTTTGGGTGATCGTGGACCAAAAAAAGCTAACTGACAAGAAATCGTTATTCGCACACACACTTCGGATTTAATCGCATTGTATAAGACGACGACGACGACGAAAACGTTATTCGATTTTTTCATTGCGCACTACGGTTGTGTCCGGTTCCTCCGGTTTTATATGCAACAGCATTAACATCAGCAGCAATTTACTTTGTTTATGTCATCGTGACGCCTATGGCGACGAAGTGTTTTGTTTTTCCCGATCGATGATGGAATATATCTCAAATTACATCTTATGATTTAGATTTTTGCGACAACTATTTTTGTAGTTCTACTATATACCATATTTAAAAAAAAAAAAACAAGAAGAAGAAGAAAATAATCTTAAAACGAGGATAAACATTGATGTTTAACGATTTCATTAAATATCCCAGTAAACTTGTTAACAAAAAAAGGATTCGACACAATTAAGTAGAAACAAAAAAAGAAGAAGAAGATAGAAGTAAATTACACAAACTTGCTTTTATGATAATATAATAATAAATGATAATAACATTAAATCATTAGAGCGAAAAGATTAACAAAAGAACAATAAGTAATATTAATATTAATATTAATAATAATAATAGTAATAGATTGACTAAAGCGCAGGAGATGGCATCATCAACGATAGCTGTTCCTTCGGGAACAGTATCAATATCGACATCAGTTGTCGGTATTACTGGAAAGGATGAACTTGATGGTGGGGATTTGTTAAGCGAAGTTAGAAACATCAACAATGTTACTGGTTACAACAATAGTAGCAGCTCAGGTGATGCATTAGAAGAGATGACTTGTAACAATGGTAAAATAGAAGATCAACAATGCACCTTGTGTTCGAGCAAATTGTGCTCGCCACGTGTATTATCCTGTCTTCATGTATTCTGCGAAGGATGTTTAGATAAACTACTCATAAATGGAGCTGGAGATTCTAAAGTAGAATCTGTATTAAAATGTCCCGTATGTTATCAAGAAACTTCCGTCAGTTCCAAAGGCGCTGCATCTCTAACTTGTGATTATGTATTAACAAATATACTCGACATGTTTGCCATTGAAAATATGGCAGTTTTATGTACCTCATGCAAGGCTAAAGAAAACGCTGTTGCGCGTTGCTCAGATTGTGCCAATTTTCTCTGTCCTAATTGTAATACGGCACATCAGTTTATGCGCTGTTTCGAAAGTCACAAAGTCATCGCCTTTGAGGATTTGAAAAAATCTAAGGAAACTATTCCTATACATAAACCTATTTTTTGTGAATATCATCCTACTGAAAATATGAAATTTTATTGCTACACATGTCAGGTAAATTTCTAGTTTTTTTTCTTTTCTTATAATAACCAAATTGTTCTTTTATCAATTTTGATATTTTGATTAGGAACCAATCTGTAATGAATGTCTTCTTATCGAGCACAAAGCACCGGATCATCAATATGAAAGATTAGCTGATGCTGAACCACGCGAAAAGGAAGAATTATTGAGTTTAATGTCAGAAAGTAAAACCAAAATAAAAGATTGCGATCAAGTTACAACGCAATTAGAAAATGCACTTAGTGAATTGCAAATACAACGTGATCAAGCTAAAGATTTAATAATGGAAACTTTTCAAAGTTACAAAGCTATTTTAGAGAAATGTCGAGATAATGCATTGGATGAGCTTGATAAATTACACTCAGAAAGAGAACTTGAAATAATGGATAGTTTCCATAAGTAAGTTTTAATCGTATTTACTCTAATTAGATCATTAACCCTTTGCACTATAATGCATGAAGCTTGTATGTAATATATTTTACAATTTAAACTTGATAAAACACGAGAGGGGAGAGAATTTGACAATTAAATCAAAGTGTAAAGGATTAATATAATTTAGATATTTAATGTATATTTAAAAATATTTATTCACTTTTTAATATAGTGTCGCGAAAGTTGCTGAAAAAATAGACGACGCATGCCGTTTTACATCTAGACTTTTGGATCATGGAGATACTGTGGAAATATTAGCTCTTCGTCGTATCGTAGGGACACAACTAATAAATTTAATTAAAAGTACCCCAAGTCCTCACATTACATTTTGTATAGAGTTCCAGACAGATTATGGTCATTTTGAAAAAACTATTACGGTATTTACTAAAAGTTACTTTATACATATTTTCCCTTTTTTCTTTTTTATTTTACACCGTTAAGGTAATAATATATTCTTTTTATTTATTTTTTATTCAGGAGGCGTTCGGTAAATTTCATACAGAAAGTACACCAATAACCAAAATTCTTCCAGAAATGAAACCAACCATACAAGGTATATCCTCTAATCAGCAAATCATTCACACTTCAATAAGTTGTCCTAGTACGATCAGTACAAGTTCTCCCATTTCAATTCCTGCCTCGATGCAATCCTCATTCGAAGGTGAACCTTCATTTATTATTCCACCTACAACTAGTCCTCAAAGTATTCCACCTCCCCCACCACCTGTTTCTCTTCCACCAGGCCCCATTCATGGATTGACTAGTATTCAAGAATATAATTTACAACAACTAGTTAGTTTAGCGGAAAAAGAAATTGTTAATGACACTCGTGTTATTGGACCCAGCTCTAATTCGAGTCCAACTCCTTCCTTTACACTAGTCGATTTATTTGCTGGCGATTTAAACTCTACCAATCATGCTATCAACAATTTACAAGCTCTTGCTAAATTAGGAAATACTCTTGGCAGTCAAGGTGAGAAACACTTACAGTATTTCTCTCTTATTTATTATCAAATCAATCATTTGCTCATACATATTACATTTCAATTTGTCTACGTAGATTTAGGGAGTGCAACAATTAATGGTACCGGAGGTCTAGTACTCGGGCGTGTACCTTCCCCTGGTATTATTGATGCACCTAATTTGAACACTTTAACTGCCAACAGTCTTATGAATGGTGGTTTCCAATCTCTTTCATCCTCCACTTCTCCTGTACTCTCACAGGCTGCTGGTAATTTAAATCTATTTAAATTTACCTCTTCATTTATTAGTTAAATAAAATTACTTACTATTTAGATATTTTTTCTTTCATTTTAGATGAACTTATCAATGATACGATACATAATATACCTGTAGTAGTAAGTAATCCGGTTGCCAATGTACCTAGTGCAGGAAGTGGAAACTATGCCCATCTTCGTACTAACAATACTAAATTAACACCAATGCAAATTCGAAGTAAATTTGGTCAATTGGGTCCCAGTAAAGGACAATTTAATTCACCACATGGATTTTGTTTGGGTTCCGACGAAGATATTATTGTTGCTGATACTAATAATCACAGAATACAGGTACGTTACAAATTTCTTAAGTTAAATATAATATAAAAAAAAATATGTAAGACTCATCATTGCATAGACATTTTCAAATGATAGGTTTTTGAGAAGACTGGTACTTTCAAATTTCAATTTGGTGTACCTGGTAAAGAAGAGGGTCAATTGTGGTATCCAAGAAAAGTAGCAGTTATGCGTAATAGTGGAAAATTTGTAGTATGCGATCGTGGAAATGAACGATCTAGGATGCAGATATTTACTAGAAACGGTCATTTTATTAAAAAAATAGCCATTCGTTACATCGACATTGTAGCTGGTTTAGCTGTTACAAGTCAGGGTCAGATTGTAGCAGTTGACAGTGTGTCACCTACTGTATTTGTCATCAGTGATACGGGTGCCCTTCTTAGATGGTTCGACTGCAGTGATTATATGAGAGAACCAAGTGATATTGCTATCAGTGGTAAAATCAATTATTATATATTAACATTGCATATACATAGGTTGGAACTTAAATAGTGGCAACTATTTATTCACAACCGATACAAAAGAGTTATATGTTTGCACCTGTTACTGTCCTTCAAAGTAGTCACCAGCGTTGTGCAAAACCCGTTACCAGCGATGTGGAAGGCGTAGTATACCGTTAGCAGAGCCTGTTCTGTTGATGGTGCAAATGGAGCGGTCTACTACTGCCTGCCGAATCTCTGGAACAGTTCTGAAGCGAATGCCACGAAATGGAAATGGTGGAATCACCATAACTTTCATCATACTGGAGCTCTGATGCACTTTCAACTTTCGCGGCGACCGATAATGACGCCATTCATTGGATTGTCGTTTCAGTTTTGGTTCCAGAGATTCGACAGGCAGTAGACCGCTCCATTCGCACCATCAATAGAACAAGCTCTGCTAACGGTATACTACGCCTTCCAAATCGCTAACAACGGGTTCTACACAACGCTGGTGACTATTTTGAAGGACAGTAACAGGTGCAAACATGTAACTCTTTTGTATCTGTTGTGAATAAATAGTTGCCACTATTTAAGTTCTCCCACCTCTACGTACATATTGTATATTTCATATACAAATGAAATACTATACATATTAATTAATAATTTATTTCTACAGGAAAAGAATATTTTGTTTGTGATTTTAAAGGACATTGCGTTGTTGTATTTAACGAGGAAGGAAAATTTTTGCGTCGCATTGGCTGTGAGAGTATAACTAATTTTCCAAACGGAATTGATATTAGCGATGCTGGAGATGTTTTAATTGGTGATTCACATGGTAATCGATTCCACGTGGCTGTCTTTTCGAGGGATGGTTCATTAATTTCTGAATTTGAGTGCCCATACGTTAAGGTAAGATATATATATATATATATGTAGGTAATATTTTGGTTAATAATAATCTATCAATAATTTGTTTGTAATTTTATTAACGTAATTGTATGTTGCAGGTATCTCGATGTTGTGGCCTGAAAATAACTTCAGAAGGATACATAGTAACGCTGGCTAAAAACAATCATCACGTTCTTGTGTTGAACACTCTTTACATAGTATGAAGTGAGAAAAGGATGATGATAATAATAATAATAACAATATCACTAACATTTCTTCAACATCGGAGCATCATCTATTTGGAAGTGCTCTATTTTCAACGAAGGATAAGGATTTAAAAAAAAAAAAAAAAAGAAAAAAAAGAAGGCATGCCCAAGACACACTAAACTACTTAATTATTGGGCCTATCAAAGCAATAGATACAAGTGCAGCAGCAGCAGCAGCATGCAGCATGCAGCTTTAATAGTTGTAAAAAGTATAATGCGTCCCTCTTCTATGAAAGTACCAACATTGAAAGGAGAAAAAGAAGGTAAATGTATATTTCCGACCAATCAATATCATAATAGTAATATACTTAGCGAAGTTGCATTTGGTAAACTGCCAGAGTATAAAAAATTAAACATAATTAAGCAAACGTAAAGAAGAAGAAAAAAAAACATAATAATAATAATTAAAGAAACAAATAAGCAAAAGATAAGAAACACGTTAAAGGAAAAGAAAAAGAAAAAAAAAGAAAAATCTACCAAAAAATAATAATAAATAAATAAATAACGATGCAGTGTGTGTTGCGCTGATGACCCGAAGTCAATCAATTGAAGTTGCTTCTTTAGTAGAGGAAAGCAATTTTAACATAATGGCCTTTTCGTCAAAATAGGTCCGTGGTACCATAGTTTTTGACACGTCAGTATTTTAAGTATGTTTACAAATCAAATTCTAGTCTCCTACTAATTGAGCACTATATCACGGTTTTTTAGGATTTGTGCTTGAAATAAGGCGCTACTCTCTTCTTGGTCTTGGGGTTTATTTTTTTGTTTTTTTTTTTGTTTTTTTTTTGTGATTTAATTCAATGGAAAAAAATAACTTCTTTGTCTTCTTTATTATTATTTAGATTGACTTAGTAGAATATCTCAAGGAATGTATATATATTATATAACGATTATATGAGAGATATGATATAATATATATATATATATATATATATATATATAAATTATTATTATTATTTTTACTATTATTATTATATAAATATATATATATATATATATATTAGACTGTTCTCTCTATCTCATAGAATTTATTTTTGTTTTGTTTTTGTTCTTAATTTTTATCTTCTTGTTTTTCTCTGTTTTTTTTTTTCTTTTTTTTTTAAATTATATTATTATACAAATTATCTCTATTTTGTTTTTTTTTTTTCGTTTTGATAAAGTTTATAAGTTTGTAGATAAAATGGCAAAGAAAATGGATTAAAAAAAAAAAAAGAAAAAAAAAACTATATACGCGCAGGATCGTTCTATATATTTCTCCATGTGAGTATCAAAGTTTTTTCTGTGCTTGTCAAATCCGAGAAGAAGAAAAGAAAAAAAAAATGATTAAAAAAAAAAAAAAAGTAAATGATAATAATTGCATGCTTCGAAGGTCGGTAGTAGTTTCATAGCTAATTCTCCTGCTTATTATTCTCATATCGTATAACATATTAAAAAAAAAAAATAATAATAATTAAGAAGAAGTTTAAGAGTTAGTTTGTCAACTTAACGAATTAAATAAAAAAAAAAAAAAACTCTTAGGCTTTTATTAAATAGGACGCAAAGTTTTGCAACAAAAAAAAAAAAGAGAAAAAAAAAACTATTATACTCTGTCGCAGCGCGTTTTTGTGTCACAATATTGTTGATAAATGCGTTTATTATATAGAAGTTAAATGTGTCGTCAAAAGAAAGAAAGAAAGAAAGAAAAAATGAAACTTATGGTACGTTGAAAATCAAACATTTAGTTACTTATAAAGAAAGTCAAAGAAAGAGAGACAGGAAAAGAAAAATATGAGAAAAAGAACAACAAAAAAAAACAAACAAAAGAAGAAGAAGAAGAAGCCATCTTGCAGAACATATTTTAAAGCGCATGTATAAAAAAGAAAAAAAGAAAAAAAAAAACAGATTGAAGAATAACTATTTAGACTTGCCACTTGAGTAGATTCCATTTGTGCATTGTTAAAATTAGTAATGTGAGGTACATAATGGTTATACAATATTTACTCAGGATGCTTTATTATGGTCCATCTTTCACAAAAATCTACATATATATGACATTATCATAATATATATGGAAAGTCATATATGTATCATTCATATAATACATATATACATACGTACATATATATTATATATGATATATAATAGTATAATATACACATTGAGAAAAAGAAAAGGAAAAAAAAAATGAAAAAAAAAAAAAAATTACACATACGCATATATATATATATATATTTTTTTTTTTATTTATTTGTATTTTATTATATTATATTATATTATATATATATATATATAAAGTACAAATATATATGTGTATGCGCCTAAGGTGGTGCGTATATATATATGTGTATATATATTTATATATATATGTATATGTATATATATGCGTATATGAATTACTGGTTTTGTGGTGCTAACGAAACATTTTGCATCCATTAAATAACACATGTATATGTATTTGTTATTAACTTACACGTCAAAAATCATTTTCCTATTCTACAATAAGTGAAAATGATTTGGGCATAATGTATTATTAAAAAAAAAAAAACACAAGGGGTTCGTTATATAAGTGAAAACGACGTGCAATGGTGTCGCATAACTTTACCTATGTAAAAAAAGAAAAAAGAAAGGCAGAAGAAAAGGATAAAAAAAAAAAAAGAAAAATACCCAGAGACAAAAAAGTAACTAAACGTACAGTTTGCTAAACAACTTCTATTTGTGTATATACAATACGATGAGAGAGAAGATTCACGTAAAAGAAATGGAAGGAGATTAAATTCCATACATTAAAAAAAAAGCGCATACATATATAGAAATACACATATTTTTTAGGGTTGTTTACATACATGATGATCAGCCTTAAGATTTGATTGAAGTAAAGAAAAAGAAAAGAAAAAAAAAACAGAAAAAAAATGCTACATATATATACATTATATATATATATATGTGTGTATACAGCATGTATATTTAAATATTTAGCAGCAGATTGCGCTCTACACACATACAACCTACTACAAACACCACCAAAATATTATTACGTATATTGTCTAAGATAATATTTGTTTACAAATATTATTATTTTTTGCCAAACCAAATCATACATACGTAGCACATTCGTATATATACATATATAGTATATATTTATACTTAAATATATATATATATATATAGCTTTCTTATAGGGGTTTGCACATATTCAAAGTTATGAATGCTATTACTCCAACACACGCCCCCTTATACCCCCTACTAAAGTGCAATCCACTTATAACCCACCCACCCTTTCTGTAACAACCTTGACGGATTGCTGCTTATTAAGTAATTCGAATTTGTGTAGGAATCATTTTTGGAAGAACGAATATCACACGACGATTAACTAATATTCTTAAAAAAAAAACCTTTTCGTGTAAGATATCGATATATGTAGTTTATTGCACGAAATCCATATATATATATGTATGTATGTATGCGTGTGCGTGTCTGTATATATATATGTATAGAAAGAACAGTTAATATATTATACAGATACAGAAGGAGAACATAAATATATCCTAGTAGCACAAAATATTGAAAAATATTGAATACATGTGTATTTAATATTAAAGATACATGTATTCAATATTTTTCAATATTTTGTGCTATTAGAGTATATATATATATATATATATATAGAGGAAAATATTAAAAAAAAAAAGGAAAAAAAAATGTAAGATTGCATAGACATTTAGCATGCGCACTGATAAACTGTAAAAGAATCATCTCTGATACTTGTAGAAGTTTTTCATGCATACATATATATATACACATATACATACACCTAATATTATAGTATGCATAAAAACACAGCTACATACAATATACATATATATATATATATATATATATATATATATATATATAAACTAATTCTTATATATACATACATATATATATTTAATAGTCGTGGTTAGCAGAGTTATATAAATAATGCCTGTGATAATAGTATCTTCAGGATATAAGTTGTGTCCTTAAAGAGTCTCTGATGTTGTTGCTAGGTAAATATTAATTAGAAGTACCAATGAAAGAGAGAGCGTTCATGATTCGCATTGTCGTATTGTTTTTTGGCATTGTATATGTAAAGAAAACAAATCGTATGCTTGTTCCGTATACAATGGCATGCAATATATGTTTACGATGCAATCTATTTGCCTCCATTTAAATGGTACGTTAAATATGAGAAGAAAAAGAAGAAGAAAAAAATGAGAAAGAAAAAGAAGAAGAAGAAGAAGAAGAAGATTAAGAAGGAAGACATGTAAAGTCAAAAAGAAAACTGGATGATTAACACGAAATGGCTGACCATTACAAACAGAAAAAGATAAACCACAAGAAGAGGATCTTTTACCTCAAAAAAAAAGAAAAAGGAGATAAACAAAATAATAATAATAATAATAATATTATTATATATTACGCTCACACCTTATATATATTTGAATATTTTAGTATAGATTTACTCTATTTACATACTTTTATCTGTGGAAGACTACTTGGCTAATTTTAGGCCACTGTTAAAATTTACCCCTTATTTGCCTTGATGTTTGAATTACACATACAATAATAAAATTAACAAAAAATAATAATAATTAAAAGAAAAGAAAAGATGAAGAATAAAAAACGACAAAGAAATGCTAAAGGAAGAAAAAGAATTATTAAAAGAAAGAAAAAAAAAAGAAAATACAGAAGACAGACAGACAGACAGACAGAGAGAGAGAGAGAGAGAGAGAGAGAGAAAAGTGAAACGAAATTAAAAAAAAAAAAAGAAAAAATTCATTGTTACGTGTGGATGGTAATTGTGATAGATTTTTTGATGATTTTTACAATCTCAAAGTTCTTATTATCCTAAATATGTATAGAATTATATAGTCATTCTTCTACGTAATTGATAAATTTTTGCTTACATATTGTTAAACGAAGAAACAAACAAACAAAGAAAAAAAAAGAGTAAAGGAAGAAGAAGATAAATAATAATAATAATAATAATAACCGTTTGAGTGCCAAGCGGCGCGATCGCGCTTCTTCTGTCCTGTCTTGAAAACTGCAGCGCTCTGAGCTGCGAAGCCCATAATTACAGCAGGCGCGAAAT